AAAGGCTGGATTCGCGAAAGCCTAAGCCCTTGTGCTGTACCGGTCCTTCTTGTCCCAAAGAAGGATGGTGGATGGAGGATGTGTATCGATTGTCGAGCCGTAAATGCCATAACGGAAAAGTATCGACACCCTATCCCTCGTTTAGATGATATGCTAGATGAACTGCATGGGTCAAAATACTTTTCTAAAATTGATTTGAAAAGTGGATATCATCAGATTAGAATGAGGGAAGGTGACGAATGGAAAACTGCATTTAAAACTACATTCGGCTTATATGAGTGGTTAGTCATGCCTTTTGGCCTTACGAAAGTTCCAAGTACGTTTATGCGGTTAATGAATCATGTATTACGTACTTTCATAGGGAAGTTTGTTGTGGTTTACTTTGATGATATTCTTATTTATAGTAAAACAATGGAAGAACATGTAGAGCATATTCGTAGTGTTTTGGAAGTGTTAAGAGCTGAAAAGCTTCATGCTAACCCGAAGAAGTGCGACTTTTGTGTTGACAAATGTATTTTTCTTGGTTTTGTTGTAGGTGCTGAAGGGATAAGTGTGGATGAAGTTAAAACACAAGCTATTCGGGATTGGCCAACAACTAAAACGATCAAGGAAGTTCGTAGTTTCCTTGGACTTGTAAGTTTTTACTGCCGCTTTGTGCGAGATTTTAGCTCCATTGCAGCACCACTGATTGAGCTTACAAAGAAAGATAAACACTTTGATTGGGGAGTTTCTGAACAAACATCTTTCGATTTGCTTAAGAGAAAACTTACTAATGCTCATGTTTTAGCTATACCGGATTTTACTAAGCCATTTGAATTGGAATGTGATGCCTCAGGAATTGGGATTTGAGCTATTTTGATGCAAGGAAAGAAGCCGATTGCGTACTTCAGTGAGAAGCTGAGTGGGGCTGCCCTTAACTATTCGACGTATGACCGAGAATTGTACTCGGTTCGTGCACTTTAAACATGGCAGCGCTATTTGCGATCACAAGAATTCATTGTTCACACTTACCAAGAATCATTAAAGCATTTAAAGAGTCAACAAAAGCTTGGCAAGTGGCATGCAAGATGGGTAGCATTCGTTGACACATTTCCTTACTCGATTCAGTACAAGAAAGGAAAGGAAAATGTTGTAGCTGATGCGCTATCAAGGAGGTACGGGTTGCTAACCTTGTTAGAATCTAAGCTTTTGGGATTTGCATTCATAAAAGATATTTATGTGAATAATGTTGATTTTTCTGATATCTTTGCAAAATGTGCTACGCATGGCTTTGGTGATTATTATTTGCACGATGGGTATTTGTTTCGTGTGAATCGTTTGTGTGTACCTAGGTGTTCACTTCGTGATGTGTTAGTGGTTGAGGCACATGAGGGAGGCTTAATGGGTCATTTTGGGCGTGATAAGACATTGAGTGCATTGCACGAACACTATTATTGGCCTAAAATGAAGTATGATATGGAGTCTTATGTGAATAAATGTGTTGTTTGTAAGATTGCAAAGTCACATGCACAACCACACGCTCTATACACACCCTTACCTATTCCAGAAGCACCATGGACTGATATTTCAATGGATTTTGTTATGGGATTGCCTAGGTCTAGGAGAAGAAATGATTCGATTTTTGTCGTGGTTGATAGATTTTCAAAAATGGCACACTTCATTGCATGTAAGAAAACCAATGATGCATCTCATGTTGCAGATCTATTCTTTCATAATATTTTGAAATTGCATGGTGTCCCTAAGACAATTGTGTCGGACATGGATACAAAGTTTCTTAGTTACTTTTGGAAGACTCTTTGGGCTAAATTGGGAACTAAGTTGCTATTTTCTACATCTCATCATCCCCATACGGATGGTCAAACCGAAATAGTGAATAGAACCTTAGGGAACCTACTTCGTGTCTTGATAAAAAAGAATTGCAAAAGTTGGGAAGAATGTTTGTCTCACGTTGAATTTGCATATAATCGTACGTTGCATTCTTCGACACACATGTCTCCTTTTGAGGTTGTTTATGGCTTTAACCCTCTAACACCTTTGGATATGTTACCATTGCCTAGCAATGAGTATTTTAATGGTGATGGCAGGAAACGGGCTGAATTTGTAAAGGAGATGCATTCAAAGGTTCGGGATAACATTGCAAAGTCAAACGCTCGGTATGCTAAAAGTGCTAACAAAGGTCGTAAGCATGTAGTGTTCCAACCAGGCGATTGGGTGTGGTTGCACTTGAGAAAAAGTAGATTTCCCGAGAAATAAAAGTCTAAGCTGAGCCCAAGAGGAGACGGGCCTTTCCAAGTTGTGGAAGGCATCAATGACAATGCCTATCGTATTGAGCTACCGGGTGAGTACCAAGTTCATAGCACATTCAACGTCGCTGACTTAAGTCCTTTTGATGTAGGAGATGAACAGGCTATGAAAATGGGGGACTCAATTTTTCAAGAAGGGGGGGATGACGAGGTCGTCAAAAGCGACGATGAACTTACACTACCACCAGGTCCGATTACTCGAAACCGTGCCAAGAAGTTTCAAACTAATATTATGACATTAATTCTATACTTGGAAGAGGAGAATATGCATAAAGTAGAAGCATAGAGGCCAATGGGAAGAGCGTTATCAACATTGGAGTGCATCCATCCTTGAAGACCACAATTTATAACACCCATGGGAGTTTCTACTCACATCATTACCCATGTGGGATAAGAGGTGTTTTATTTTATTTAATAAAGTGGGTCCCGTCAATCTAATTAATTGGACATCTCTTATTTACTTAATTAGTGGGATATAAATAAGATATATTTTTGTCCCACATTGGTTGTAGAGTCTTTTTTCAAGCTAGCCTCCCCTATAAATAAGACACTTGGCTTCACTTGTTAGACACCTTGAAATTGATATCAATTAAAGTTTTTCTCTTTATTCCATTATATTGGAATTAGTATGTGAGCGAGGGTTACACTTGTATACGCGTATCATTCTCAAATCGGGTCATTGGGTTGATTCCTTGGGTTCGTGGCTTCCGAAACCGACCGGAGTTTCTAGCCAAATTGCTTGAGTCTCCATTGGTTTAGAGGTGTTGGGTCTAAGCAACGCTTGGGTTCACTTCCGATTGATTGACGAATCGGACACCGGTAATATCTTCTTCTTTCTTACTTAGTTCTTTTTTATTTGAATTTAGTTTCGGTTAGTATAGTTTAGTTATTTGGGTTGTGTCAGGCGCGGGCGAGGACGCGGGTCAGGTAAGAGTGTGAGTAAGCGGTTCGGCTTGTGGGTTGTGGATCACAAGTTAGGCCCAGTTCGAATGGGCTGTTTAGATAATTGGTGTGTAGTGTATTTAATTGGGGTGGATCCAAAGGACAAAAAATCCAACAACTTTAAATATAAATTAATACTATTTAATTTGATCAATTACCAATAAAAATATACTACTCTCTTTGTCCCGTTGAAATATTGACATTTTATATTTTCGTTCATCCTAAAATAAGGTTATCATTTTCTAATTTTGTAATTGTAATGCCTATCTAACATAATAAATATATTTATAATTTATAATATATTACACAAATGTTATTATTTTTACACTCTCTTCATCCGGTTAATAAGTATACGTTTACTTTTGGCATGAAGTTTAAAAAATAATAATATTTTAATTATAATGGTAGTTAAAAAGTAGTATAATGACATTTTTGCCCTTCATTTTTGGTATAAAAGTAGATATGTTAAACGAGCCGAGTCGTTCGTGAATTCGGCTCCGTTTGGCTCAATTCGGCTCGGTTAAAGTTCATTCGCGAATGTTAACGAGCTTAGCCGAACAACATAAACAGGCTCGTTTGGTTAACGAACGAGTCCGAGCTTTATTCGCGAACGTTCGTTAAAATAATATATTTATTATAAATATTATATATAATATAAAATTATAATTTATATATATAATATCAATTTAAAATAAATAAGTAAAATAGTTTTAAAATTTCTTTTTAATTAATATATAAATTAAAAAAGTGAGACAAATGAGCTCGAACAAGCTTAATCGAGCCGAACACGAATACAAAAATGAGCTCAAACAATAAAAATCCTTAACGAGCCGAGCTTGAAAGCTTAACAAACGAACAAGAGCCTTGTTCGCGAACGTTAACGAACAAACACAAACACTTAAAATTCAATTCGGCTCGACTCGGCTCGTTAACAGTTCTATATAAAAGTAATGATGTGATGTAAAGTAAGAATGTTTGTGAAATAAAAATGGAGTATTTAATGAAATGATTACTTTGTAATTGAACGTGTCAAAATAAAAATATATATAATTTATATAAGAGTAGGGTCAGCGATTGCTCCGGGCCCTCATAAATAGAGGACCCAAGATTTAAAATATTACCCACAATTATTATTAAATTTGAATTGGTAGTTTATATATTTTTTCTTTATAATTATTCAAATAAATTTTAAAATTCTAATTATATATATTTTTTCTCTTTCTTTTTAATTGGTCTCATTTCGTCTTTCCAAATTCAATCGTCGTCTACAATTCTCTACATCACATCCTATCACACTGCGTCCACCCACTCAAACCAAACTCGCTCACCTTCTCTCTTCTCTCTCTTTTGCCTTCACTCAGTCCTTCTCGCTTTTCGAACTTCCAAACAGTTAATCTTTCATCTTTTTTTTTTCTCAAATCTACCACGCACAGACTGTAACGTTAAAATTTATTGTCCAATCGATGCAAATTAGTGATACTATTTTAAAAATATATTTTAATCAGGTATTTATAGGGCCTATAATTTATTTTTGCTCAGGGCCTAAAAAAAGTCCGAGATTGCCCTGAATTTATATATGGACCGAGGGAGTATTGTAACATCCCTAGTTGGCTCATACTGGAAATGTTACCGCCACACTGCATCATGAGGTCGGCATCTCCTACTTCGGGCCTCGCAATACAGTGTTAAGGCTAAAATTAACCATAAAAGCGAATTATTATATAACAAAATATGATTTATGAATATTTACAAACACGCTCCTAAACAAGAGGTTTTTCCGGTTAAAAATTTACATATAATACAAATAGATGTAAGTTCACCCAAACAACCCGTCTTTCTATATCCCGAGACGTCTGTCTCGGATGTGCCATGCATACCTGAAACAAATATTTTTCTTAAAAGCAGTCTAGAATTAAATCCATTTTAAGAACTAACGTGAAATATGTCATTTCATACCTTTTTAAAATAAAGTCTAATTCCCGTCAATCATAAAATACGTGTTATGTCATGCCAATAGTGAAATGATGCAACAAAGATATCAAACTCGACAACAATGCACATCCACATATATATATACATCCGCCGAAGTGAACAACCGGAATAACCTCGGCTCCATAGTAATAGGCTCACTACATCTGTCTAAGTGAGCAGCCGGAATAACCTCGGCCCCGTAATAACAAGCTCACTAGACCATCATCAATAAATAGCCGGAATAACCTCGGCCCCGTAATAACAAGCTCACTAGACCATCATCAATAAATAGCCGAAAAATCCTTGGCTCAAGGAAGGACCTGATAAACCCATAATAATATAACGGTCATCCGGTCACTTTCATATACCCACCATACGACTCCCACAATCAATACATGGATAGCCGAACGTTGTTGTCATTAACCACAAGACGCCCCATAGTCTGTGATAGCGAAGATAGGACCCCCACTGACTAGCCCTATTACGTGTAATGTAGAAGAATCCGTGCAACCTGAAATCACTCAAGGGAAACCCAAAAACTTTACTCCTCCTCGCGCGCCCTAACGGGATCACGCTTGGAGTTTGGCATATGATCCTAAACTACCGGTAGACCTCACTAGTAGCTACTCCAATGAGTGGAACAACACCGAACACGAATTATTAGACCAAATACGTCACAACTACAATGGGTCTAATCCCTGAATGACCGTGCAACTAAGCCACCCAGTTGTCCAACTACTATCGTCCACTATCGCCTAATTGTTACGGTACATCGGGGTCGAATATCCTAACCCCAGATGATGCCCTCGCCTAGCACTACCGCACACGACAACTAAACAATAGATCCATAAAATATATCCGATAAACCGTGCAATATGTGTGCATCATGTCAAATAAGTGAATTTACCGAAAAGGGCTGGTGAGACAGCTCACCTATTCTCCTTTTCATAAATTCACCTACGCGATCAAATATGTATATCAAATATTATGAACCGTGAAGTCTCCCATATGCATACGCACACACACATATATATATAAATATATACATGTACTGACAAAATGATCAACATAATATTACATTAACATATTAATCAGAATCTCATGCAACATGCATACCTAATTTCTTAAAATTAGATTTAATTTCTTACTGCTTATCTCTTATCGACACTCCCTAGCTTTTGCAATCTCACCCAAATCACCTCCAACATACACCTGCCACATTATTTACTCAAATCAGTTGAGCTATATACTTATTCATAGGAGCTACCTACTTATTCAAAAGCTAATTTCTATAATTAGCTCGTTGAGTTTCAAACTTTTATATTTAGTAGAATACAAAATTCTAGCTATAAAACTCTTATACTTCATAATATTTATATCGTCCGATTATTAAATAAAAATACTTAAAGATATAAATAAACAGGCAGGTGAAGTACACCGCTGTTTTCAATTCGACTCGGATCGAGACAAAATTCTCAGAATATAATGTTAGGACTACGAATAGGCTATTAGCTAAAAAAATTAGCCGATTAATAGCCAAATAGCCAGTTATGAATTTTTAAAAAATTTCTAATTTAATATCTTCAATATCTAAATTTATATTAAAATTCATAATTAAATTTTACGTATAACAAAAAATACAATACCAAAGTCAAAATCGAAATCGAATGGCCAAATGTTTTTCTTTCTTTTTTTCTTCTTCCTCCTATCTTCTTCTCTATCTTCTTCACTGTTTCGTTCGAATAAAGGGTTTTGCTTGTTTGATATCATTTGATTATATATATATATATATTATTTAGTTATCATCTTTTTCTTTATTATTATAATATTATTATTTTATAAACGTTATCATCATTGACATTTATTATATTATTATTATTATTATTATTATTGTTATTAATAAAAGTTATCATTATTCATCTCTATCATTATCATTATCATTATTATTATATTAATATATATATTATATTTTATATTTATTTTTATCGATATTTATCCGTTTAATTATCTCTATAATTATAATTAATATACAAAATAAGAATAAATTTATTCTAAAATATTAATTTTTTTTATTTCAAAATATTATAAAAATATTTATTTGCTATAATAATATTATTTTATACACTCTGAAATCGAAACACTACAAGTATTACCCAATAGTAATAAAAATATTTTTGTCTTTTTTACTACAACTTAATATAATACATTAAAAAATTTACGTGAAAAAAATAAACACTACCCTTTCAATGAGACGGAAGAAATATTTCTTATTATAAATTATTTAAATTAAAAATCAAATCAAAATCAACCAAAACCCTTAGACCTTAGTTGAATTATAATATAAATAATATTTTGTGAAAATAATAGTATAATTTTATTAAAAATTATATTGTAAATTTTTTAAAAAAGAATAAAGAAAAAACAAAAACAAATCCATTTTAGCTCATTAAAAAAAAGGAAAAAAAAAACTTGTCAGGTACAAAACTTTATGCGTATTCTTTTGAGGTTTAATCTAGTTATATTCTTATGCTTTATTATTTTTTTAGAAGTTGTTTGGAAGTAATATTTTTATGAAATGAAATCGAATATGTTTGTTTTGTATTTTAAATCAAAATTAATATTTTTTATTATATGCGATTTTCGATAAAAATATATTGTTTATTTTGACATAATATCATACTCCCTCCGTCCCAGAATTATAGTTTTAATTGTGTTGGACACAAGATTTAAGGAATATTGATATTATATTGGTAGTTGGTAAAAAATATAGATAAAATAATTTTTTGCCCTTGTTAGTATATTAGTGTAAAAAATAGTGACAATTGTGTAATAAAAATGAAAAAGTAAGGGTAGTTTTATGGTGATATGATTATTTATGGAAATAAGACTATTGTTTTGAGACGAACAAAAATGGTAAATAAGACTATTGTATTGAGACGGATGGAGTATTATAATAGTATTATTTAAACGAAAATTGACCAAACCAATTTATTGTTGTTATTTTACAGGAAATTTGCGTAGTAAAAAAATAAAATAAAATGAAAAATTAATTTATTATTTTTAATTATTTTTATCAATTTATTTATTATAGAACATTTACAAAAAAATTTATACAAAAATATTTATACATTTACTATTTCATCCGTTCGCCTCTAAGAATCACATTTACCTTTGCGTCATTGTATTTAATATTAAAAAATATCTTATATTTGTAGAAGTTTTTGTACATATGTCATTCTATTATTATTATTATAAGACACTAATAGAAGTATTTTTGAATTTTTTTTTTTTAATTTGTACTATATTTTTGATATAATAATTAATTTTCAAAGATCAACATGCAAAAAGTAAACGAGACTCTTAGAGTCAGACATAGATAGTATTTAAAACATAACATAATTTTAGGTTTGAATCGAAAATTTTAAAGATGAATTTTATATTTAAATAATACTAGTAAATATTGAATTTGATATTTACGAAAGGAAAAATATATATACTACATTCGTTCCGCACAAATTATCTATTTTTCTCTTTTGTCCGGCACATAAAAGATGATAACTTATTTATATTTTTAGTAAATTTATTCATCTTAAACATACATAATAAATATAAATTCATTTAATTAATTTTTAATCTCTTACACTTATATGTAGGACTCACTCTAATTTTTTATTTTTTATATCTCTTCAATAAATAAATATCTTTATCGATATTTAAAACTCTTTATTTTTTATAAAATTGATTGTAAGTTAATTATAAATAAATAAATATTTTTATTTTTTGTATTATATAAAATTTATTCTCTATAAAATGATATTCCTATTGTATATATTTTATTAAGATATAATACTAAAAATATTTAAAATACCAATAACACTATTCATATAAAAATAATGAAATAATATCATAATTTATTAGTAATAACTTACTAATATAAACTATCTGAAATACTGTGCTCCTAACAAAAAATATCATCTTGACTGGGACGAAAGAAATATATACTCTTCCGTCCGCCTCTAAGGGTCACATTTACCTTTTGCGTTTGATATTAAAAATATCTTTATATTTGTATAATTTTTTGTACAAATATCTTTTTATTAGTATTATAAGACACTAATGAAAATATTTTTGCAATTTTTACATTTTAATATAATAATTAATATTCAAATATTAATACGCAAAAAGATATAATATTTAGGGAAATAGTCCGAATAGAAAACATTAGTGAACTTGTGCCAAAGATACACTCTTTGACTTTTTCTTGGTTTTGATTCGAAACCCTTTTTTACTTGAAAATTTGAAAGAGAATATTCTTAAATTGAAAGATACATTTTTTTTTGTCATTTATTTATTTTACTGACAAAATATATTTTACAGGTTTACAAAAGTCATCATTTATGTCATTTGGCCACGCGTGGACAACCAGAGGACAAAATTTAAGATTTTCGCAAACATGTAAAAAATATTTTGTCTGATAGATAAATAAATGATAAAAATGATAATTGAATATACGTATAGGATATTTTTTGCAATTTAATTTTTTGATTTTTTTTTCTATGTAGTTCATTTAATTTTCAATAAAAATATACTTTCTCTACTAAAATTATATTATCACTTCTTTTTTTACAATCCGCTGTGCAATTTATGTATAGTAAACAACTTTATCCACCTAAATTTTATTACTCTTATTTTAATAAATAATAATCAATTTGTTTTCTATTTTTTCTATTTACCTCACTATTTTTTATTAATCATTTAATAAATTTACTACTACATTTGTTCGTCTCTAATGTTTACATTTACTTTTTGCGTCATTGTACTTAGTATTAAAAATATTCTTATAGTTGTATAATTTTTTGTACAAATGTCATTATATTAGTATTATACGATACTAATAGAAATATTTTTATCATTTTTCCTTGATTTTTATTGCATTTTGATATAATAATTAATATTAAAATATTAATACATAAAAAATAAATGTGATTTTTAGAGCCGGACGGATAAAGTATAATATTCTTATAATAGAGTATAATATTAAAATATTACTATTTGTTAGTCTATGTGCCAACTAAATCTATGTAATTTTATCGTGAGGTAGAAATATTATTTTCTTATTATAAAACATTTTATTTGCTTAGTTTGGATATTTTAATGTGAAAATAAAGAATCGTATTAATGATATAAAAAATAATACTCCCTCCGTCACACATACTATGTTCATATTGTTATTTTTAGGGATGTCAACGGGGCAGGTTCGGGACGAGTTCTGCAGGCCCCGAGACCCGCGCCGCTAGAAAATATTAGGCTCCGAGACCCGCCCCGCCCCGCTTCAACCCGGCCCCAGGACCCGCCCCGCCCCGAACCCTCCGGATTCGGGTCCAACCCGGCAAACCTGTTTTTTTTTAAAAAATATATAATAATAAATATTTTTTTAACAATCAAATACTAAAATAAATAGCATTAAAAGCACAAAAAAAATCTAAAAACAATCAAATATTGATCCATAAAAATAAGATAAATAAATAAATAATATATTTTTATTATATAAATATATATATTAGGTATAATAATTTTAAAAAATTATTTGGAGCAACGACTAATTGAATTTTATATTTAAAATTATTTAGGTAAATAAATAATATATTTTTATTATATAATATACATATACATTAGTTATGATAATTTTAAAAAATATCCGGGTTCGGGTCCGGGTCCGGGTTGGGGCGGGTTTTTAGTAAAACCCGTAACCCGCCCCGAATCCGGCCGGGTTTAAAATTTTAAATCCACAACCCGTCCCGAAACATATTATTTAGACCCGAACCTGCCCCATTAAGAGCGGGTCCGGGGCTAACCCGCCCCATTTGACATCCCTAGTTATTTTTGTTCGTCCCATATCCCATTTTACTTTCCTTTTTTGAAAAATGATTATACATTTTAATCTTATTTTAAATTTTCTAATTTAATTTTTTTTTAATTTTAATTAAACTAATTAGTTATCTAATTTTAATATATAATTATTTATATTATAGAATACTTATTTTCACTAATATATTTTTAATTATCTACTAATCATACTTATTCTAAATTTCCGTGTCTACAGTGACTCAGACATCCAACGTAGATGAATGAAGCATTTTGTATTAAATACTAATTTTTTTATAAGAAAATAAAACATATATTATATATATTAAAAATCGAGATGATAGTTTAGTTGGAAGAACAAACCCATTATTTATATCAATTATTCTTGTAAGTATATATATATATACACTCAAATTTAATTTACACACGACAAACAAACACTTGCCAAACTTCCCACCCAACAAAATTGGAGATTTCTTACAAACCAACAAGTAGATCCATCATACATCAATCAACATAAACATGTATGTGTGTTTGTTTAATTTGGGGTTTGAATTTTGAGTTGGTATTTGAATAGTAAAAATTTTAAATTCGAATAGTTGTATGATGTTATATAAATAGATGTTGATGTAATATTTTGAATGTAAAATTAATTTTTAGTATAATATAAAAAATAAAAAATAAATATTTAATTTGATATTTTTTAGAGAAAAAATAGAATGAATAGTAGATTCAAAATCCAATCTTCCAAGCAAATGTATTCTAAATTTCAATCGGTATTACTGTATTATTGTTGTTACTATGATTTGATTTGATTTAATTAAAATGACGTCTAAATTAATTAAAATTGTATAAATTATCCTAGGTAATTTGGGCGTGAATTTAGGTA